TGTATGCATATATCGTAATATGTTCACTATGGAGATTCTATAACGTTTCAGAAAACTTGGAAATTTGCAAGACTTTGCCTTGGCAAAGAAAAAGAATAATAAAAAGTTGTAAAAAAATATATTACGTAAACATTGTTTCTGATGAAGTTGCATGCGAGCAACATAATCCAATTATCATTTTCTTTATAGTTGATATAACATTACAGAAATATAAAAATATTAAGTGCAGTCTAAAGAAAATATATTTTTAACAGAATGAATAATTAATAATTTAAAAAGATTCTTCCCCTATATACAATTTTTTTTAGAGAAATTAAAAATATTTCATTTATTTATAGATAATATATAGATTCTTATTTATGTCGTAAGAAAATTTATATTAAATTATATCAAATAATACATTTGTGTTGTTTTAATAAGAATCTCTTCAGAAAAATTAAAAATATTTTATTTATTTAAATAATATAGATTAGTTAGTGTATCGCAATCCCATAAGCACAAAATATTCTTAGAATATTGAATGAATATTATTCCCTTTTTAATATTTATATAACATTCGAAGAATATTGTGTCTCTCATAAGGAGAAAACTTATTGAATTATACAAATAATACGTTTATTAATTGTTTTAATTATATTTTATAACAGATAATGATTTTATAGTAAAGCTTTGTTATATGTATCCTTTTTCAACGGCGTGAACTATGACATCCGCTAGTCTTTGCCTTCCGATTGTTGTAAGATCAGAAAATGATATCCCATCACTAATATCTATTGCTTCATCACCCTCAATAGCTGTGTCTATGGTAAATGATTCGGATAAATCTATCAGGCATAATAGGATAGCGTCAAGCGAAGCAAACACACCAAACACAAATTGCTCCTTCACCTGAAATTAATTACACATTGATTATAGTATTGTCTCTCTTGAGAAAAATTATCATAAAACGATCTCTTTTTACCTCTTTCATGAATAAATCCCATGGATAAAGTTTCTCTGGGTCAGACCCGAGTAATCTAATGGCATTGCTCAACTCGGAGTGATACGTTTTTAATATCTCATCAAAATATTGATCACGAAATGACTTCAGAGTACAAGCATAAATTAGAAACGACAGGTCTATGACAGGACTTGCGCAACGTGCAAGCTGAAAGTCGAGCATCAATGCTTGCTTTTGATTTCTTCCAATGTCGCGGATTAAAAAGTTTGGACCCCAACAATCACCTTCCACTACGATAGATGTAGGAGCATCTCTTCTATTACATAGTTCTGTACACTTGTTAAAGAGAGCACCAAATTTGTAAGAATTGTATTGCTTCTCAGCTTTGCTATTGGGATATTCGGTAGCTAATGCGTGTTTAATTAGAACTTGTATCTTTTCCTGGAAAAAGGTCCTTTTATTCCAGAAAATAAACTGATTCTATCATTTCGCTGTTACTTACATGAAACCCTTTGTACCAGTCCCAATGTTCATGGCTGAAGAAGGTTTCTTTCAAAGAATTTGTCATTTCTGCAAACTCTTCCTTTTTTTGATCTTTGTACGCAAATGAGATCGCGTGAAATTTGGACAATGTCTTCAAGACAGCTAAAGATTCTGCCCAATCTAGGCAGTTCTGTCGTGAGACGACACGAAATCCTAAGCAAGAAGCATCTTCTAAAATTAGAAAACCGTTATCGTTATCTGTGGAGGAGATTAAATGACGTGGTATACATAATAGATCGGTTTGTCCTTTTTCTGCTAGAAAGTTTTCAAATTTGGATATAATCTGCAAAATAATTAGAGAATGATTTATTTAGTTACACAAATAAATATAATTTTTTTCAAATGAAAATGTACAAGTCTCAGAGTAAAAGAAGTATAAATGTCTAATTTTACCTGCGTATAAAAAGCGATTTCGTTATGGAAGAAGTCTACACATCTAAGAGTCTTTCGTGTTCCAGGATTTTTTGGCATTGACTTTACGACAATATTCGCTTGTACATGTTGCTTTGGATCACCATTTATAATGCCATTTACTTTGCCCTTGTAAATATTTGACAAATAATTATCACCTTTAGCAGATCCCTCGTTAAAACTCCAATCTGTCAATTGCACTTCGTTTCCGTTGCATATTTTGGAGAGAATATTTATTAGCACATCTTCTGTGAACTGGTTGTTCATTTCACTTAATGTAACACACTTTTTATTCAAACTCATTCTTTTTTTTGTTATTATAATTAATTGATACAATTTACTAATATTTTATACGTTAAATATTACACTTATCTATTTATAATAACACGCGAAGGATTATTATAAGTCAATGAATTAACGAATTATGAGCAAATGCTAAATCAATAACGAGACTACTCTGCTTTATATAACTTATCTTATGCTTTATCAGAGTTTGATAAAGATACGAAATGTTAAGTACAAGTGCACTACAATTCTGTGTTATTAAACGTTTGTGTTACAACATTATAGAAAACTTCCTGGTATAAAGTCCACAAAGTATCTAATTTCTTAAGATTCCTGAGTAATCATCACAACCATATTGAATCATGACGTAATGATTCAAATAATTCCATTATGATGTAAAAAGCGATAAAATGCACATTAAATGCTTTTATTCAATGCGCATGCGTTATTTTCATTTATACGAGTACATGCTTTTTATGACTTTTCACGATTATTTATTGACCGTCAGGGAGGATAAGCATAGTTTTCGTCCATTTTTACAAATGTTTTAAAGCAATCTCATTATTTGGTTTTATTCAAATTGTCTTTATTTATAAACGACATGTATAATATGGCTGTGGACTATTCAGGAGCTTTAATTAGTAGATACTTTAATGTGTATTAATATGTACGATTAATACTTCTATTTAACATCGTTGATCAAATATTTTTCATAAAAATAAGGAGAGTTATATATTGTTATAAAATATACTTACCAAAGTCAAATTTTTTTCAATTAATAGATTTCGAAAGAAATCAATGTGATATCGTTATTCGTTGTCTCATATAAACATCATATAAAATCTAAAATCATATCTAATCTAATTAATCATAAAATATAATATATATATCAATATATAAAATATTAATAAACATTCTTTGAAAATAAAATAACATGCATGATATGTTTCTATGAGGAATTTAAACGAAATGGAGAATGAAAATGGAAAGAAATGGTACAATAAAAAAACAAAATCATTTAAATATGCATACATAACTAACACATTATATTTATATATTACAATATGAAATTTGTTTATAGGAAACCTAAATTTGGGAACATTTTTGTGTAATGCATGTCAAATTATAAACTCTGACAGCAGTCTTGTAAAATTTATCTAAATTATGCTACCCCGATATAAATTAATAATGTGAACACAATAACCTGTGAAGGTATATTCAAACTAAGATTCATTTTTTTTATAAAAATGTAAAAATCAGAAGTATGTTTTACGTACATCTGCTGCATCTAGAATGACTAAAATCGCATTCGAAAGTAAGACAAACGTAAGACTTCGCAAAAAAGCTTTTATTTACATTTGTTCCGTTTCATTTAGCGCCTAGGTAAATTTATAATTGCAATAAAATCCCACACAAATCGATCGCGCACACACTGATCACTTGTTGTGGAATGTTTCACATAATAAATACAGTTTCTGACATAAATTAAAATACAAGTCTTATATCTTTTTTTATACAACCAAGAAATGTATAAATTCCAATATCTCGAATAGAACCAATCGGATTCCATCATAACAGTAGATTCACTCACGACGAGCCCGTATACCTTATTTACAATGTCCATATATAAACATATACATTGCGACCTATTGATATACGAAGTGAAAGGTAAAAAGTACTATTTTGTACCTTAGAATCTGAGAAATAAAATAAAATGCTGGCCTGTGTGTGTGTGACATTAAATCGCACTTATGTCATCTATTCTAAATCGGTAATAGTATTTTTTTGACATCTTCCTTATTCTCCTTCGATTTATTAAATGTAAACCTGTTGACATTTTAGTCGCGTCTTGCCTAACTTAATGGCTAAACTTAACGTAACCCGCAATTTTCTTAATCTAGTCTTAGCCGCTAACTAAATCGTACAATTGGACTGAGTGATAAATTATCATCGACTGTACAAACATCGCTTTCAGCTTGACACAATCATATCCTAATCTCGGAATACCTGAATGAGAATCGTAATTGTTTTCCCCAGTTGAGTGTTTGGACCTCGCGTACAATTTTTTTTTTTGTAAAAAATATACTTCCTGCTGATCGCAAAGCTGACTTTATGTCGAATTTCCGTCACAATAGTAAATTCAAAGAAGAACAAGTATCAATTGAAAGGTGGTCATTGAAATGCTTTTTAATGTACGACTATGTAAAATAATGAATGTTATAAAAACTGCTGGGACAAAAATATAACGTCGAAGTCTTCTATAACGTGGCATCGAATAAATAGCAGTATGTTTGCTAAAATACATCGGAATTCCTTATGTGGCATTAGAACTAATTTAAAATCATTTGTTCCTTCAATACGTTCCACAGCCGTGTTCGGTACTAACAGTGAACATAAAACCGAGAGAAAAGCATTTTCCTATATACTTCAGTGAGACACATTATTTCTTTATTTTTTTTCAATCACATGAATCTTAATAAGTACCAAGTGCCTAATATAAGATCAAGTTTCAATATACCCTGAACTACCCACATATAGGTAGAAGAACCCCAAACGAGTTCGCCGTATACTTTTACTTGCTTATCGAGGATCAAAATAAATATGTATAGATATCGTACGGCAGAGGCTTGGCTCGGACGTCGATGCAAAGCGGGAGAGCAGGAATGGCAATTAGGTTGTCTATACACAGGACATATCTTACATAGAGTACGAGATAAAATTAGTTTAGACCGAAGTTTGCGAGGGCGACGATTCTCGCGAGTGTCGATATATCCTATGTTTCATCGACGACGATCGTTACGTCTGTAATAAAAAAACCACCAATTATATAACATTACTCATAAAGCTAAATGATTTAAAATTTTATTATTTATCTATCCCAAAATTTATTTATTACAAAAAATTCTTTGCTAATATTGTAATATTAGCGTCTTATTTATGCATTTACTAGCATTTTATTTTTTACATATTTCTCATTAAAATAATAAACGATTGAAAGTTTATTTCTCGTTACCTACCGAGTCAACAAGAATCACGTTCTAGTCATCGCGTTGGCACAGCCTTTATGTGTTGTTGTAAAGTTGGTGGTGGGTTTGATGTTGACTCGGATGCGAGTGTTGCAGCGTGTGTTGGTGCTGATGGGGGTGCTGATGCTGTACTGTGGGATGCCTCGCGTTATATCTAACACTACCAGCGAGCGAACTTCCCCTGCCGTGAGTGCCGACCATGCTCTGCGTATCGGACAGCTCATCTTCTTCCGCACCAAGACTCCGGAACCTAACGAAGCCGTCCTCGGCGACTAGCATCGTCGAGCCGCTGGTTGGAGCTTGTTCGTGTAGGCCTTGTACAGGCGTATGCCTCCCGCGAGTCTCTGAGTTCCTTAGAGTTTGTATACCGTTTCCATGACGACTTAAGGAACCCCGACCTTCGTGAGGAAAGTGGCCCATTGTACCTGACTTGCGGATGGAATGTCTCTCAAAGGTACCTGTACAACAAATAATCATTAGTTACTGCAAATTAATTAACAGTTATATTGAACAGTCCGATAATTAATATAATATTAGTCTCTTTTAGATTGATAATGAAAAGTAAATTTTAAACATTCAATTATAATATAGATTATATTATAGATTATTAATGAGAAATATAAGATGTTACAATTTTTTTACCTGATATGTTCAAATGCTCGGGCAAAGTATTCAGTGGAAAACTATCGTCGTAGACTTGTTTTCCTGTTCTCATGGTATAATTTTGAATCGCTTGGTTGGTACTACATATGGCGGGGTAGAGTACATCATCCATATTTTCGGTAGAGGTGGAACTGCCGCAGGGGAACAGAGCGAAGCCCGAGTGTGCCGAGTGTTGCTGCATCTGTTTCTCGCGCAACGGATATTGAGATAGGCTGGCAACCCAGGCTAGGAGACCACAAACGGATAGCTCTAGTAATCTGACGGAGAACTGCCAGCCCCACCAGAGCCATGGAAATTGTTGCGGACGTTCCTGAACGCCGAATACGCCGTAGAGCTGTACGAGGCCCATGAGGATGAACAACAGAGCGGTGGCAATAGTGGTGGTGATGGCAGTGCTGAGAGCCACCGTAGTAGGGTCGGCGCCCATCATATGATTTGCGCCGGCTGCCTTATTGCTGGCCATATGAATCTGCGAACGCACCACGCGGTACACGTACATGTAGCACAGACCTAGAGTGATGCAGACGATGATGTAAATGCACTGGCAGATGAGCGGCAGGATTCTCGCCTCGTCCTGATAGCCGAGCATGTGCGCGGACACGTGCAGGGATACGCACAGTATAATGTGCACCGTGGATGAAAATACAAGCGTAATAGGCGAGAGGATGTTGTTGTTAAGCGATGGTGCTTCCGAGCACCGGGCAAGGTACAACATCAGAGTGGCAAACGCCGTAGACAAGAGTGGTGCCGGCAGGTACATTAGTACTCTAGACAATGATTCTGGCAGCGAATGTCCGAGATTGTAAGCATCGTAAAAGAGGTGAAAGCACCTCAGAGTGCAGATTGTGGTCAACAGTAGATGAACGGCTAGGAAGTACGATTGCGTGAGTAAATTCGTTGCCTCGTTGAAACGCACGATCTTGTAGATCGAATACAAGGCCATGAGCGTAAACATAATCGCCGCGACGTACACGTGTAGCGACCAGGCGATCCGCCACGTAGACTCAAGTGGATGCGTGTCGACGTGTGGTATCAAACGGTCGTCATCGTCGTCGTCGTTGACGTTTGCTGGTCGCTTTGGCGTTGGCGCCGGCGGCTGCGCTTGCGGATACGGTAGCCTCTCCGTATCCACTATTTCGATACTATCAGTGTCATGTTCGTTCCTCAGGCCGTGATGATAGCTGTCGTCGTCCTGTCGGCCAGTGTTTGGTAGGTTGAAGATCGTTGGCTGCGTGACAGCGATCTTCGAAGGATCCACGGTACTGCCGGGCGCTTTCGGCGTCATGGTGCTTGGCGGCGACGTAGTTTTATCGGTCGTTAGGGCAGGAGGAATATTCGGCAGCAACGGACTTTTCGTAGCTAAAGGCTTTAATAGTATATCGGGAATATCCTGTTTCCTGCCGTTGCTGCCAGATAAAATCCTAGAAATACTGGGATAATGAAGAGTCACGAACGAAGGATCATTCGTGCCGTTCTTTCGATCGGCCTCACCAGATTCCGCCGGTCTCTGCTCTCTGCTGTCGGGCACATTTGCCGGTTTGATCCTCGTATGAGAATGATGTCTCTCTGGTACTTGAGAAGGACTTTGAGGTAGATCCGGCGGTCGGATGGGTATCCGCTCGTGCGCCGGCGTCAAGCTCGGTGGCGGTACCGGTCTCCTGTTGTTGGTATGCACGTCCGAGTTGGTACCTCGCAGCGTGGGTTTATCGGCGAATGGGTGCAGGTACTCTGGTGGTAGGGGTGGCGTGAAGAGTGCCCTGGAAGGAGGCGCGTACGACGGCAGATCCCGAAAGACGGGCGATGCTGTGGCCCGTGGCGCTGCCGGATACTTAATAGCGGGTATCGACGGGCTAGCGGTGGTTGTACTGGTGATCGTACTGGTGGTCAACGGCGATGGTACCGTCGACAACGTTGTGCTAGCCGACACCTGAGCATCGTATGCCGGCACGCTGCGCTTCGTGGTCGCGGAACTATGTGCCACCTTGTTGAAGATTGCCGCTAAATTCTTTTCCAGAACAGTGTGATCTAGATTAAAGATCGGGCCATTAGGTTTACCATCGCTGCTCGCTGAACAGACGGTCGAGCAGGATTGTATGGCCAGCAGAGCGGATAGGAGGAGCAGCCGCATTATCGGGGTCATGATGCTCGTATTGAAGATGATGATCGTGGACACTTAGATGCCCCGTCCGGGCATCGATTCATTCCATAACACGGTCAACGCCGCTTCGCGACGAAGATGACGTCGGGCAGGAAACTTTTAAATCCGTAAGGACACTTGTTGGGACGAATCTTTGTTCGATCCCGTATATGTCGATCTGTTATTCCGTACGTTCCTCCCTTTCTTTCGTTCCACGATTTCCGTTCGAAGATACTGATTTCCTCACACGGAATTCTGCCACACGTCACATTCCTGAGATTGGTTGTCTCTAGGTCTTCTCACCGTGTCATTCCTTTTCCTTGCGACATCCAGTACGTTTCTCTTCGACGTTGGCGTAGCGTTATATTTTATAGCCTGTACTTTCGCTGATCGATCGTGGATACTGTCGATACACACGAAAGGTTTCGATGGAGTAGGATGGGGTTAATAGTGTCTTCTTTGTAACTATACTTGTATCTACATTTTTCAGTGTTCTGCATTAAACAGAATCTCCCTTGACACTGCGATGTGTCGAGCGATTAGGCGGCGTGTAAAAACAGAATTCAATTTCTTCCTCGCAGCATCCACCATCCTCAGGGTCCACTACCGTCTCGTCTCATGTGCTTTCATTATATACGGAATACGCGAGCCAATCGCACCTGGATTATTTTGCCGTGTTAACTTTGTTACCGTTGTCCCACAGTTGACTCGATTTAAAATCTATCTACTTGCACGACCGATACAGCGACGACACGGGCTTGTTAACTGAGTTTGATCCGATATCGCTGTTGCTGCTGCTGTTTCTGCTGCTCTTGCCACTTTTGCTCCCAGAAGGCCATCCCAGATCCGCGAGAGCCCCGGCTGGAACGTGAATCGCCGGGGGAGCATTTAACGCACCGAATTGGCCCGTATTCCTAGTCGCCGACGCGGCTTTGTAATTACCGTATCCATTTCTTTAATTGGCAGCTCGTTGCAATCATCCGTTTCTTCTTTACGATTCTTTCGTGAGAGTGCCGGATACCTACAAAAAATATCTGTCGTTAATTTAAAGAAGTAACTTAGAACACAATAACATTTTTAATACATACGCATTTAATTAAATAAACAAAGGCTTCGTTTAAGAAAACTTTAGAAATTTTTATTTATTAATTACTGGATTTTACATACATTTTATATGTATTATATATATATATATATATATCAAGCAAAGTATATAAAAAATTGAATTTGTTTAAGAAAATACAATTTCCAAATTAAAAGAATTAAAAGAACAAATAATTCTAAATTTTCACGATTAATTTCAGATATCAATTACATTAGAATTCTTATGTACAATTTTCAGGAACATACAAAACACTCGGTGTTTCATTTCAATAATTATTTATTTATTCTATTGAAATTTGTTAACTAATTTTATTTTTAAAATAAATTTTCAGTTTCTCAAATTCCTCGAATCTTAATATTTCTTTATTAATTCTATTTCTTCTTTATCGATTACTTTTGCATGCCAGAATTTAAAGTAAATATTCCAAAGCGTAACTGTTAAGAATTTCAATCGAATATCAATAACTTAGTTGCTCAATAATGTAAAACACTTAATATAGAACAAACTTGCAAAAAATCTTTAAATTATAGGGAAGACTTACAATCTTTTATATAAAATGAAATGATTGAAAATTCCTTGACTTTTGATCAAATTTGATGTTCTTAAAAATTTTTTACTACGAATTTTTTTAGTGAGTTTTTAGTAAGAAAAAAATGTAAATAAGGAAAAAGGAAAGAGAGAGAGAGAGAGAAAGAGAGAGAGAGAAAGAGAGGAAAATAGATTGAGGTGTTTCGTTTGTGGCAAGTCATAGATAAATTTAAG